AGATATTGCAAAAAATAATTATTGACATTTTATTATTGACATTTGCAGTCAAAAAGCTAGGATTAAAATGTCCAGTATTTTGATTGGATAAGCCATTCAAGGCTATTTGATATTTGAATGATTTTAATTCCATTTAAATATGATGCGTTGCTTTCCAATGATACACAACCTAAGTGAATGGATTTGACTGTCATGATGACATGTAAAATAATCCGTTAAAGGTAGTTAAGAGTCTTTCATCTTTTTATTATAGCCCATTACCTGGTGAGATTTTTGTGCTCATCATTATTATGCCAGAGCAAGCATATAGCATTAAATTAATGAAATAATGTAGTAGTTAAATATTTTGTCGTTGCCATAGAAACGCAAACCGCTCAGAGTGAAATCTCAGAGTTGTCATCTTGTAATTACTGTAATTCAGACATGATGTTGACACAGCATTAGGCTTTAATAAACAGCAATACTTAGTGGAGAAATTGTTTTTGTGTCTGTTATCTTTAATACATTATATTATTTATTGAACATGTGTGACTTATTTTATTTATTTATTTAATATTTTATTTGACGACGACAAATGCAGAAAACATTGCTTTATAATGAATACAAAGGAGATGGCATGCATACAGGTTTCTAGCCATGACTAATTTGCAACCCCTGTCCCTGGTTAGGCTTTTAAAATTTAAAACAGAAATTACAGAGTATTGAATGTAAGATATATATAACTATTAAAAAAACATACAACAAATACTTATTTATTGCCAGTGCCACCATTTTATACTTGCGATTCAGCACATGGTTAACAAGCACAGTTGTACACACTAAAGTATATAGAATAACACTCAAAAAACCACGATGTCACAACCGTAACTTCACCACGTTTCAATAGTGACTTTTTCGATAGTGACAATTTTAGATACTTTAGAGCCTAGTTCAAATATGATAGCCAGCACATGGTTACCTAGCACATTTATCAAGAGTTGTACACGCATAAAAAAATAATTAATCCACACGAGCTCAGAGATCCACACGTTGATATGATTGGTAGTTTGTGACATCAGAAACTCCAGCGATTTCAAACTGCGATTTTGAGACGGTCTTTGGTTCATGGAAGTTTTAAGGAGAAAATACGGGGACATATCATGAAATTTTTTTTAAGTGCTATAATCAGGTCCCCAGTGCATCAACTAATCCAGAAAATGTGAAAAGTGACAACCCAGTAACTTTGTTCTGCAAGCATTTAAAAAAAAAAAAGCCAATCAGATTTCACTTCCCTTCTGACGAAGGGGATCTTATTATAATATTGCCAACCCTTACATGCACGTTTCAACCCACGGCACCGCCATTTGGTTTTCGCAAGCTACAACTAGTTCTAACGCAACTAGACCAGCACAGAACACTATTTGACCAAAAAAATGTTACAGCTGTCTTATAAAGACCTCAGGGGACTGTTTTAACTTGTATAAAAGTTAAACACGACGGTGCAAGTCGATGAGATGAATCAATGTAACTCCACAACTACTACATAAATTTATCCACTGACCATTCAGAAACGTCCAGGTGCAGTCTAAAAGTCACATTTTTGCTCACACACAAAAAGGGGCAAATTTAATATAAATTTACTATAATAAATGATCTGGGGGGTATTTTAAGATTACATTTCTGACACATTTTGGTGACAATAGATTTATATTACATCTTGAGAAAATGGGCGGACTATGTCTCACCTTTAAAGTAGCGTGGCCGCAGCTTTAACGTATATAACATGCTGATTCATTCTTCGATTGTATTATAATGTGGGAAAAACATTCAATTATGCCTGTTCTCTGTGTTTTTGACATCCTACCGTTCTCGTTTGGGCAATTATTATCTGAAAGTATTATGAAACCCTACAGTATTATGATATTTTATTTTAAGATAAATGAGGTTGAACAAGTATATCTCTTTTCAAGGATGATTGAGTAGACCCATAAGTTAGATAAAGGGAGTGAGGGAACATTGTTTTCATGTTTGTGGAGACTGGGCATCCGTATCTTGAAATATTCAGGCATGTACTTCTCAGGTTTCATCGTGAGACTGACCCATTTCTCTGAAAATAAATAATGGAGGGGAGACTTGGAGACCAGCACAAGACCTTAAAGAAGTTCCACCTTCTGCACCTATGTTATGAACCCAGTATTTCATATCTGAACATCAAAAAAACTCTGTATTTAGATAAGTAATACTCTCAATATCGGAATAGAAATGGTGGCTAGCAAACAATCTTAAAGGCTACTCACCCTCATGTGTTCCCAATACTTTATGACTTTCTTTCTTCTCTTAAACACATAAGAACATATTTTATGTTTTTGTCATGCAGTGAAAGTCCAAAACAACTCTAGACCCCACTGACTTTTAGTATGGGCAAAATAAAAAACACAAAAGAAAGAAATGCATATTGCATAGACATGAGTAAATGATAGCAGAATTTTCATTTTTGTGTGAACAATCGTTTTTATGCAAGTTGCATTACATGAATTTTTTAAGGGTATTTTTTATAATGTTGTAAATCATATAAATTGCAGCCCGAGCTCATGATGATAAAGGATTGTTCTCTTCTGTTCAGTGATCTGATAAGAAACTGAAATGAGGGCATAGTGATGTTCTCTCCGAGGGCTGCGTTGTTGAGGATTACTTGTGTTTTTCCTTGTTATTGTTCCTCTGTTGGAAAGTGATAATTGCTTTGAGTAATGCAGCCCAGTGAACTTTTCTCACAGAACATTTGTCACTGCAGACCTTGATGACTAATATAGAGGGTGCGTAAATTGAGAAGGAATGGTTAAGTTTAATCAGAACCTGAATCGTTAATTCCAAACAATTTCTATTATAGATTATTTTGGGACTTGACACCTCTTTTTAACACACACACACATACATATATTCACTCAAGAATCGTTAAGTTCCGATTCTTTGGCCACATATCAGCATAAAGATATCATGCGTTTCATGAGATATATAGTTAATGTGGTCTCTTTTCTCTGTGCTGCTCAGACGAAGGTGGTAATCTGAGAGAATGAGCATCAGAGATGGATGGATGTGGACGAGCAAGACAGGTTGTGACAGCTTGAAGGAAGAGTGATGTAAGACCTCTGCGCTCGACCAGCAAAATCAGCTTTCTTTGGTGTCTCTGTTCTTGAGATACTGGAAGCTGCGTTGCTGCATCATCATCATCAAGCCATCAGTACTTCACCCCGTTTGACTTATCGAGCGGAAACAGACAGGACTTTTTGTGCAAATGATGAATGAGAGCTTGAGCACCTTGAACGTCTGTAGCTCTAGGGATTTGTTTTTATTCTGTGCTTTTGCTCAGAGAAAATGAATTTGATTGTCTTATGCAAAGCCTCTTGGAAATTTCTTATACTTAAGGTGAGAGGTTAAGAAAAATATTAAACTGATGTGCAAACTCATATTATTTATGCTGTGGACATTTATGTCAGATAAAAAGACATAGGTACAAGACTCTGTACATGATGGATTTAATGAGAGAGAAAAACAGCATAGTCAAATTTAGGAGATTTTCAGTGTAATTTGGCCAAAATCTTATGTTATTATTAAAGGCAAAGTGCTAAACACAGGCTATATAAGATGCCAAATGCTAGACTCTTCTCCACTCCTCAAATACATTAAACATGTGTAGATTTTTTTTGTTTTGTTTTTTTTTTGTTTTTTACCCTTGCATTACAAACAAGCAGAGACCATACAAAATTTTTACCGCACTTCATTCACAATTGAGGTGGGGTGGAGTTCTTTGGTTTTACAGACAGTTTGATGATCCAATGGTGTTATAAGGTTTAGTCACAAACTTTTTTAAATATATATATTTTTTTTATTGGTTAAAGGGATAGTTCACTTTGAAATTAATTTTTGGTATGTTTTATCTTACCTCAAGGGCATCCAAGATGTAGTTGTCTTTTTTCCGCAGTATTTTCAATTTTAATATTTTTAGGTCAAACCGTTCTTGTCTGTCAGTCATATAATGGACGTCTATGGGGTTCACCTCAAAGAGCACGCACAGAGAAGTCCAAATTAAACATGATTTAATGACTCGTAATTGTAAGTACACATTGATGGCCTAAGACACGAAATGATCGGTTTATGTGAGAAAACGAACAGTATTTATATTGTTTTTACCTCTTGTAACCACAGCCACGTCCATGTGATCTGAGGGTGTGGGCGCTTTAGTCTACGTCGTGTTAAGTGCCTTCCCGCAACTAGCACTAAACCTCAACCACTACATCACACAACTCTCTGCATCACTGTCTGAAATGTCTAAAAGCATCCTGAGTGATTCTCAGCATATGATATCCAACATAACCTGCCTTAAGCACCCATTCCTCGACCTGCAAGAAGCGGTTCCCTGTTCCCCCATTGCTTAGCAGCCAAGCAGTGTTGATATTCTCACTGGCACTTCCTGTAAACACTTATAAGACACGAGCCTTTCTGTGCACAACAGCCCACTTCAGCGTGAGAAAATGGAAGTGTCTCATAGTCGAGACTTCCAAAAATATCCCCTCTGTGAAAAGAGGAGACGTAGGCAGAGAGTAATGTACTTTCTCTCTCTCCCACCCTTCTCATTTATGAAGTACCACGCAGTGAACTCATCTTTCATTCAGCAGCAGAAGCCGAAAAATTGCTCCGTGTATCTGGCCCGACTTTTCATTCCATTACAGTCGGACTAGAATCCCGAACGCATCTCTGAAAAGGCATTTCTTTGGGCTACATATAAATGGGGGTAAATAATGCATTTGCCCCTTTCACCACTGCTTCTGGTAGACTATCTCAAAATGGCTAATTTGATGTGCATTTAGAGGGCTGGTGTTTGTGATGCCGTGGATATTAGCGCTGAGAAGCACTTATCGTGGCTGAAGCGGCAGTCGGCGCTTTAGATTGACGGCGGTTAAAAGGTCTGTGCCGTTTGTATAAAACTGTAGGCTTTGACTAATAGCAGTTATTCTGTGTTTCAGCACTGCTGCAGGCATCATGACCACAGCTAGGTACCGACCCACCTGGGATTTGGCCCTGGACCCGCTGGTGACCTGTAAGTTGTGCCTGGGAGAATTTCCCTTGGAGCAAATGACCACCATCACCCAGTGCCAATGCATCTTCTGCACCCTGGTGAGTAGTATCTAAACGGATTTCAGGTTTAAAAATATATATATATATATATATATTATTTATTTATTTATGTTTATTTATTATTTTATTTCTATCAGCATAAAATAAAATGAAATGCATAATAAATAACATATCACATAACATAACATAAAAATAAGCAAATATTTTATTTATTTATCAAAATGAAATAAAATGATGACAGAATTTTATTGTATTAATTGTATTTAAGTTTAGAATAGAACTCAATGAGAGATTTCCACAAAGATTTAAAATAATGTGTGCTTTCAGCCATATTTTATGAATATTTCTATATGTCATTTCTGTCTTTAGGTTTCACTGCTATAGGAATGGAACGTCTAAAAATAAATGAGTGGGAATCTTACATAAGCCTCAGACATTTTGAAATGTGTCTATATATAAGCACAGTTCACAGCTATAGACGTAATATCCACAGGCCAACTGAGCTGTTTTTTTTTTTTTTTTTTTTTCTTTTTTTTCAGAAATGTGATTCATTGTCCAGTTATAAACAATCTTATTCAACCCTCTGAGGTTGCTGTTCTGACTTTCCCTTTGCTGTGTAGTTATACTGATTTGAGACCAGTTTTATTTATATCTTGAGGTTGCAGGCAACATTTGGGGAAAGGAAGCAGCTAGAGTAGGGTAAAGGGAAAACATCTCCTCGTCTGACTCTGAGAAGCCTTGTCTTGCTTGTGTCTTCTTAGCTCACTAGAGACAAAACTGTCTTTGTGTCTTAAGCGAAGCATGTTTATGGAAACAACTCCCTCAGACTTTGCCTTGCCAAACATTCCTAAAAGCTCAAATACACAATTTAGTTTTAGTGCTTTCAGATGAAAAGTATTTAATAATATTTTGTAATTGTTTTTTTTTTTTTTATATTTTATTATGAGAAAGAGAGAGATAGGAGGAGAGACAGAAAATATGACCTGATTTTTCTCCCGAAGCAAAAAATGAAATAATGAAATGCGTTTCGTTCACAGCCTATTAAAACAGTGAGTTTGCAAATTGCTAACACTGAAGGACAATTAGTCTTGGACAAGTGACTGCGCCTTCATTACATTGAGATGTTATACAGCGTAATTTTTTTTTGAGGAAGTTAACAGTACATTACAAGTGGTTTAGTGTTTCTGTACTCACACTCTCACAGACACTGAGCAAATTAAACACAAAATTAAAAGCAGAATTTGTTTACTCGTAATGTATTTTTCCATATTATCTATTTTATTAATTTATTTTTGTTATGTCTTATTATTCTTTTAAAGTGCCTGAAGCAGTATGTGGAAATTCTCATAAAAGAGGGCTTTGAAACGGCCATCAGTTGTCCAGACTCAGCCTGTCCGAAACGTGGACATTTACAAGAAAATGAGGTAATGTCATCATACACTCTATACTGTTCAAACATTTGAAGGGAAGTAACATCTGCATCCCTGCATGCTGAAGCCTATAAAGGCAGTTAGAACCCCCCTAAAATGCAAGATACTTGGGCAAAAATGCCCCTGTTTTTGCTTCCTATTTCATATGATATAGTTAAGCAATATCATAAACGAGTAACAACTGCAGTTTCACATGAGTCTTCTCTGACTGAGAAAAGTCAGAAAATATGGATGAAAGACAACAACTCCCAGAATGCACTGGGAGGCCACGCCTACCGGTAACAGAGCGCAGTAGTTAAACAACAAGTGTAGGCTACTAGTGAGTCTCTGTGATGAGTCTGCCCGAAAATGTGTTTCGAGATCGCCCAAAATGTCCAGGATTCGGCTTTTGCGTTCTACAGTCGCCCTTCGTTATGTTTACTGTGGCGAGCAGGACGAGTGAGGACCGTGTGGAGAACGGCGCGAGGCCGGTGGCGTGATTACCGATGAGCGACACCTGTGAGACGCACCGGTCTCGAATCTCTCACGGAGGAGCGGGAATTTTCTTAGCAATGTTAAAATGCTCATCAACCGATCACTAGTTTAGCGGTCATGTAAACACTACATTCAAATTCACCAATCAGAATGAGTTCAGTTAGATTGAAACAAAAGCTGTGCATTTGAACAATGAATGGCAACTGCAGAAAGCAAAAACTGAATCCCGGACCTCGACGGCAGGACATGTCTGGGAAAAAGAGGATGGTAACCTCTACTAATCGGCTATCTCCACAGAACAAGAGCCTGATAGCTTAGCTTCCAAAAAAAGATGGCTGACACTATCAATGGCGCCACCAAGGGGTGGCCAGGGGTGGCCATGGCCACCCCTTGCCGACTCCTGGCCACCCCATTGGCCACCCCAATGGCCAGTATTAATTTTTGTAGCATCAGTTATGCATTTTATAAATAAGTCAAAAATATTCTTAAGTAAAAGAAGACGGGGAATTATGTGTCGTGACGTGCTTTTTAAATGCCAAATGGTACACTGTTACAGCAGCTTTTAGATGTGTTTTGCCACGTTTGGACAGGCAGGGATGCAAACAGCGCGCTTTTCGGCGCCTCCCGCTTTTGTCACGTCAGTTTGGGTGACAAAGTCATCTGAAGTCATTCCATAGCTTAATGTGAGGGACAGAAGTATATTTACATCATTAAAGTGTACGGAAACTCGTTTTCCCTCCTCTGCGGCTCCATTCATATTCAAACAGCACGCGCGCCTCTTGGATGAACGGTAAAACTCTCTCCAATATGATATATTGACATTATAAATGCATGATCTGTAGATAAAAGGCTGTATATTCGCATAAAATTACTTTATTTTCTTGGAGTTTGTTGCTGTTTTTAAACGACTCACTACCGTGTGCTACTGTTAGATCACACATATGACAAGGATTATGAATCGGCATCAAACGCACCAATAACTGTGAAACAAAGGAACAAATCGCACTAGGATTTGTGCGCTCAACATTTCTTCGATTTGTGACATGAGCTTTTAAATGCGCACTTTTGCAGACTTTTGCACACTGTGACTCCATGTTGCTTTGAGCACATCATTCTGCAGCCGCGATGCGCATACACGCTGTGTGCTCTCTGTTTTTCATGTAATCATGGGTTTGCGCACTGAAATATTATTAAAAGCCAATATATTTTGTTATACCTAGCCTGCTCAATACATTTTAAATAAGCATAATTTAATTGTATATCATTTATTTGTAGTTTAGGCTATATATGCACTTCTGAATTCTTGACATTAATATATAAATATAAAATTGTGACATGATTGCCTGATTGAATTTTAAAAGAGAACTAATAGTAATTTGTTTTTATTAACATATTTAGATTTTATAAAATTACTGTGCAGATTTTTTCAAGAATTACTTTTTGCTGCTGATGTATACACTCATTAAGTGTATTAAAAATTCATAATACATTTATGTAATATTTAAAGGTGTTAATTGTAATCTTACACTGTAAAATAATAACTTAAAAATGATTAAATTCATCACAATTATGTAAAGTATCTGGAAATTTGCTGTGGGGCAAGGGCCCTTATATATCATATAACATATATCATTATATACAATATAATATATATTAGTTGAGCCCTACTAATATCATTAGTAACATTAAATATTACACAATAAACCAAAGTATATCAGTAGGAGTTTCCTTAAGTCTTTCTGATAGTTTTCTACAGGCTGGTTTATTACAACAGTAGAATACAATTCTGAAATTATGGTTTATACTGTAATTTTGGTGTGCCACCCCAAGATTTTAACTGGCCCCATCTGGCCACCCCTACGAAAAATTTCTGGAGGCGCCACTGGACACTATGTGTTCATTCTTTGAGTGAGATCCCACCCTCTATGGGCGGGTTGAGAACATGCAGGACAGACCCTACTAATGACTCTAGTCTTTAGCCTCTGGTCAAAAAATCCCCCGATGACGCAAAATGACGATTTAAATTCATAAATCTCTCGTCTCAGGGGGAAATGAGGGTGGAAAGCATGGTGATTTGAAAATACTACAAGTTTTCTACTAATACAAAGCTCAATGCTAAACCCTAAAGTATCCCTTTAAGCATCAAAACAGCATATTAGAATCATTTCTGAAGGATCATGTGACGCTGAAGACTGATGTTATGATGCTGAAAATTCAGCTTTGTCATTACAGTTACATTTTAAAATGTATTCACATAAAAATTCAAAATTATTTTATAACATTGCCGTGATTATTTCCATTTCAAAAACATTACAAAGCCTTACAAAATTACCAAACATTTGAACACGTACATATTCCCGCATTTTGCACAGCTTTTTAATGCTTAATATTTTGAGTTTTGATAGCTCAGTACAGCATTAATGTCAGGGACTTTATACTTTAACAAGTATCCCATACTTCACTCACCCTGAAGCCATCCTAGGTGTACAGTATATGACATTCTTCTTTCAGACGAGTTATATTAAAAAAAGGGTCCTGGCTCTTCCAAGTCGACTTGCGTACGGCCGTCTGCTGGAAGCCAGTGGTTTTAGTCAATAAAGTTTTAACACAAACGTTTCGCTTCAGAAGACTTTTATTAACCTCTCAGAGACACTTTGAGCATTTTTATCACAGATAGATGCGCTTCGATGGACTTCCAAAAAAATACACCCATTGACACCCATTATAATGCTTGGAAGAGCCATACAACTCCAATTATGTTCGTCTGAAAGAAGAAAGTCATATAAGATGGCTTCAGGGTGAGTAAATGTTTTAATTTTCATTTGGTGAACTATCGCTTGAAGATACAAATAATATACAGAACTATTAACTGATTAATAACTGTGTCTAACTAATGATCTGTTAAGCATAATATAATGTAGTTATGGTAATCTTGGTGGGGAGTCTGAAAAGGATGAGTTTGTCAGGATTAAATGGGTTTTAGGAACTCCAGTGTAATGCAGTTTTTTTCTACAAAACCTGCAATAGTCACAGCTTCTAAAACAACAAATACTTTACCGTCCACATAAAAGTCCTAAAATGGACCTGCATCTCATCAAGCTCTTTTAGCATAAAATGGATGCTGAAACCTCTCCCCTCCGTGTCTTGCACCACGAAATCCTTCCAAGTATGAGGTCAGTCCGAGGGCAGGGTTCCTCCTCGCCGCTGTAGGCTCATTGTGAGGATGGCTGGCTCTTTCAGTACCAAAGCAGCTAAACCAGATGAACCAAATGCAAAGCATCAGATCAACTAATGTGCTGTTTTTGGGGGGCGTTCCTTACCAAACAAAAATTCAACATGCTGTGTTGTTTAATCTCAAGACCGTAATTAGATTAGAAACTGTATTTTTTGTTGGATGTGTGTTTACCCAGGTCAAATTGAATGCTAAATGCAATATCTGCAAAGCAAAGAGTGCCTTTGTATCCATCCAGATTGTCTAATAATGGCTTTTATCCACTTTCCCTCTCAGATTGAATGCATGGTGGCCACAGAGATAATGCAGAGGTACAGGAAGCTGCAGTTTGAGAAGGGTAAGTGGAAAGAGGCTGTCTGCCTGTCCATCAGGCGCTGGTGAGGCACGTGTGCCTGTGCATGTTGATGGTGAGCTCCATGCTTGCTGTCCTAGATGAGTCGGAGTGACTCGCTGTAGATAAATAGGCCAGTGCAGGTGTGAGGATGAAAGGGATGTGAGTGGACTCGTGTAGGTCCAGCTGACCTTATGCTGTCACAGAATGGAGGCTTTTACCTTAGGCTGTACCGTCTGTTTTTCTTCAATGAGAGCCTACCACCTGCAGACACCTTATTTAACTGTTCCTCATTATGTTTTCTGATTATCATTTGCACAGTTTTTTTTTTTCTTTCTGGAAAATGGCAAATCAAAGGCTCAACATTTTGAAACTAGTGCTGATCAATATGCCACTGCCCTGACTTTCAATTTTTTTCTTTAAAAAAACTATTTCCTGTGACTGTGCAGGATTCCAAGTCATTAAGTCCTAGAAGACTAATAAAGTGCTGTAAATGGTATAACTATTTGCACTACAAAACATTGTGTTTATGCTTAATATTTAAATAAAATGATAACAAGTACCAACATCACACAGATGTTTTTTGTGAAAAAAAAAAAAATGGATGCGGAAAATAAATAAATGGACCTGAAGCCTTGGATCTGCTAGTTACATTAAAAATAATGTGGATTACAGTATGTGTTTGTGAAGAGTTAATATATGAGTGTGTAATGTTGGGCTGGTCAGGATGATCACAAACAAACAGCAATGTTTTGATAGTATTGATTTGATAGTGCAAACAAGTTACAACTTAGCCTTGTAATGTAAAACTTGCACACTATTAAACATTTTTGCATTGCACCAACCAAGATAATTATAAAACATCAGATTGATTAAATTGTTTCAATAAGCTTGTTTTAACTGACAGACTTAAATCCCTAAGACGTGTGATGATGTTGACATTTACACTAACATGCAGAGATCGAATAATTTTTAAATGAGAAAAATAAGAAAACGGCTCCTTTTTATTTCTTTCGATATTATATATAAAAAAACACAACTGAAGAATGATACACGGATTCACGAGGGTTAAGAATAAATGGTGTAACCAAATTAAGCATAGAGTTTCAAACTACTAGTAGTTAATAAACCTCTAAAGTTGACTCCTATTTTATAAATGGCTGTGTTGGAACCCTATTCTGTCCACTAAGAATTATTTATGAACCCAAGATAAACTGTAAACAGCTTTAAAATCCAAAATAAAAAAATACCAATGGCTAACAATTTAAAATGTGGGAGGGAAACCTTCATACCTTTGGCACATTTTCCAGGGCATTTATCTTCATAATTCAGAGTTTAAAGCATTGCAAAACTTCTATGAAAATTACAAGTGTGAAACCCAGGGTTAAAATAGACTTAACCCAGGATCTTAAAAAGAGTTAAGTGTAAATGAAGACTCTTTGTGTTTCCGCTCTGTATCCAAATGCTGACCTGAAATGCTTTTTAATTTGAACAAATGTAGCTTCTAGTCAGAAATCTCCCAGATTAAAAGACTAACAAAGAGTAACTTAGACTTTTGCTAATTGGATAGGCTTGATCGAAAGCATGAAGGTTCCCTTAAACAGATAAGACCTGAGGATCTGTGCCATAAACCTGCCATATGAATCTTCTCTTTCATCATTTTCTTCATTAGGGGATTCTGGACTCTGATAGTCTCCAGTTGTTTGAACCACAGGACACATTTGCTTCAGAGATATTCTCTGCCCACCCCCTCAAGTGTGTTACATTAGCTTATTTTCAAAAAGACATAATGAAGGGAAATAATGTAGTTCCGCGTTGCACTTGTTCCGATGCTATCTAGCCCTTGTTTAGAGCTGGCATTAAAATGCCTCGAGATTACTCGATCAGATCACAAGTAGACGAGGGAGGCACATTCCCATTTATACTGGTTGTAGCGGCTGTAGACCAGGCAAAATTATCTTTGCAGCCGCGAGAGACTAAACACTGGGAGAATGAATGCACTGCGACGCGCAGAAACAGTTTCACACAGCGATCCACTCATTTATTGCTTCTTGCACATAAAATACAACTGTTAGCCAGTTACCAGTTCATAAGTGCAGTGTGAGTGCATAAAGTGCGGTCAACAGAAAGTGTTCGCTCCCAGGCTCACTCCCTCTCTGTCAAAGCCCCCATACTCAGGTGCACAGGTGTAGCAAACAAATACGTGCAAGAAACACATCACTTCCGCCCAAGCCCCGGTAGACACGCCCACCACCTACAATCTGAGTGCAATAAAAATAATGAATGAGACCATAAAACCATAGGAGACTTACAGTTGGCTCTTACATTCCGGCCCCTAATTATTTTAACACAATAATTATACAACTGCACATTATGTAAGAGATCAACAATATGATTTTTTTTTTTTTTTTTTTTTACATAAAACAGTCCCTTCGAAAGTGTCTTTTCTTCTTTAGATCAAACAAGAGACAGAGTCCTTTGTCTTTGTAAAAAGTGATCTTCGCAATCACTTAATCATGTAATGTAAAAAGGTCTATATAATAATGTCAAGATTAAAGTCAAAGTCTAAGAAGTTCGAAGGTCAGCTGGATATCCTCATGGCTCCTCTGCTTCCTGTAGAAGGCAAATCTTGGTGATAGGCCTATCCAAATAACTGGTCTTCGTCCTAATTCGCACTTGACGAACAAGTCCTCTTCTGTCAGGGAGAGTTTGCACAATCCTTCCTGTAAGCCATGAGTTGCGAGGTGCTGAGTCGTCAACTATGAGTACAATATCTCCAGTTTGGAAGTTGCGCTTGATACCAGACCACTTCTGACGCTCCTGAAGAAGAGGCAAGTATTCCTTAATCCAACGTTTCCAGAACAAGTCAGATATATACTGAACTTGTTTCCATCTGCGACGAGCGTAGATGTCCTCCTTTTTGAACTGACCCGGTGGCAAAGATGGCATGATCTTGAGCAGCAACAGATGGTTAGGGGTTAATGGTTCCAAATCATTGGGATCAGTGGATGCCTTGGTAATAGGACGGCTGTTGACAATAGCTTCTGCTTCACACAGAACTGTGTGAAGACTCTCCTCATCAAGGGTCTGCAACTTCAGGGTGGAATTCAGGACCTTCCTCACAGATCTTATCAACCTTTCCCAAACCCCGCCATGATGTGACCCTGTGGGGGGGTTGAAAACCCAATTAATTCCCTTTTGAAGGAGGGTGTTATTAATTAGGGTATGATTCCAACTTTCCATTGCCTCTCTCAATTCTCTCTCGGCACCAACAAAGTTGGTTCCATTATCTGAACGCAGTTCCAATACTTGTCCACGTCTTGCTGTAAAGCGTCGAAGAGCATTGATAAAAGAATCTGTGTCCAAGGATGATGCAACTTCTATGTGGATCGCTCTTATGGAAAGGCATGTGAAGAGAACCCCATACCTCTTCAATATACTCCTTCCTCGCTTAACTTCAAAAGGTCCGAAGTAATCAACTCCGACCCGAGTGAATGGAGGTTCATCTGATGAAACTCTGTCCTGAGGTAAATCTGCCATCTGTTGTTGGCCTGGAGCTGCATGCAGTCGTCGACAGACAATACATTTAGACAGGATTTTTCTTATAGCCACACTAGCCCCAGGGATCCAATACCTTTGGCGCAGACAAGCCAGCATGTGGTTACGACCACTGTGTCCCACCTCTTGATGTATGTGCTGAAGAATTATGTTGGAAATGTGTAAATCCTTTGCCAATATGGCAGGATGCTTAGCTTCTTCCGGCATAGCTGCTCTGCTAAGTCGTCCTCCAACTCTCAAAACACCATCTTCAAGTATTGGGTTGAGTTTGTAAATGTGACTAGTCCTTTTCACACTTTCGCCCTTTCGCAGACTGTTGAATTCCCCAGGAAACCTCCTTCTCTGGCAAAACTTAATAATCTCCATCTCAGCCTTTCTAAGTTCCTCAATTGAAAGAAGACCACTGGCGGTCTTAGCCTTGATACTCTGCATCTCCTTTTCTATTTCTTTTCCCTGTTGGTCCTTGTCCAAGCCAGAATGAGCAAGAGTCCTACTCAGTTGCTTCCTTTTCTGACTAAAGTACAGTAGTAGACTCTTCAGCTTAAGGATCCAACCAACCATCTTCTTCAGACGGATCCAAGAGGAGAAGTAGTTAATCAAGCGAGTGACTGCATCGATCTTCTCTTCAGCCTGCACAGCATTCACAATCAAGACCCTCTTAACCTCAGGGTCATCTGGTGGAATTCTCACATGGCCATCCGGGTTTTCAGGCCAGCCCTCTTCAGGCCCAACCAGAAATTGAGGTCCAGACACCCATATGTTATCTCTCAGAAGTGATGTCACCTTTACTCCCCTAGAGGCTAAATCAGCAGGATTATTTGTGGTGTTAACATATCTCCATTGAGATGGACTAGATACACTCAGTATCTTTGAAACCCGATTGGCTACAAAGGTACGAAACCTTGAGGTCTCATTGCTGATGTACTTCAGTACAGAAGTACTGTCTGTCCAAAAAATTGAGTCTTGAAGTTCCATCTTTAGCTCCTTCCTCCAGAGCTCATCCATTCGACCTGCAACCATGGCAGCCGTCAACTCCATGCGAGGGATGGTGATTGTTTTTAATGGAGCCACTCTGGCCTTTCCCATTATGAAAGTACAGTGAACTTTTCTCTCTATGTTGTTTAATAACAAGTAAGTCACTGTTCCATAGCCGCTCTCACATGCATCCGCAAAGTGATGTAACCGAGCAGAAATCACTTCCCCAAAATCCATTGGTTTTAGGCATCTGTCAACCTCAAACTTTTCAAGCTGCCAGAGCTCCTTCAACCAACCTCTCCACTCCTGTGCAGACAAGTCGGGTATAAGATCGTCCCAACCAAGGTCTTTTCTACACAAGTCTTGAAGGATCTTTTTGGCAGATAAGACCACAGGTGCCAACATTCCTAAAGGGTCATAGATTGAACTGACCGTGGAGAGAATCCCTCTTCTGGTTAAGGGTCGATCTTTGA